CTTTTGATAGGTTTGAAACGTTAGGAATCAAAGAGACAACTGTAGACTTAACTTCTCTAAGTAACTTTTCAATTTCAAAAATATTCACGATTGCTTCAATAACATCATTCCCCACTATCCCCCATGCTTTCTTCAAAAAACCCGCAGAATAACCATCAGACCCTGGTATTTTCCCATCTTTTGATGGATACATGGTTTGTTGAATTTCTTCTCTCATTATAGCTTGACTAATCAAAGATGCAGCCTGATCTGTAAGTTTTTTGTTGATAAATTGTTCCACCCACTGCATTTGAACAAAAGTATGAGGAGGGGAGGTTCTTTGCTTTAACCTCATTCATATCAATAACCTTGCTACCGTCCTCTTTCTCCACATAAGTTGGTCTTCTATTAACTCTATTCTTGTCAACACTTTTAAAGAAAAAACTACTATTCTAGTCCCCCAAGTTAGGCCATCTAACTCTGGATTTCTATTTAGCAAAACTCTCTTTTGTTTCCCTCAATCTACATAACTCTGATGCTTCATTTTCTCCTTCTGCCAAATTTCTTAGTTAAGGCTCTATCAAGTTTTCTTGTGCATCCTCAAGCAGTTGTCTAGTTTTGGCAACCCTCAAAGAGATATCACTGTACTCGTTCTGATTTAGGACCTTCATGTCTTTCTTCAGAAACTTTAGCTTATGATAGAGCTGGAACATGGGAGTTCCTTTTACCTTTGTATCCTAAGCCCTAGTAACAATATGCAAGAACTTTTCATGTTTTGTCCACAAGTCTAAAAATTTAAATGGTTTCTTGCACTTGGGGAGGCCTTCTCCCCTCTTGACCAAGCAAGTTGAGTGATAAGACACACTTGGGGAAATAAATACAGCTTCAAAAGCTGGGAAGGTCTTACTCTATTCAATGTTCACTAACACCCTGTCAAGCTTCAAAGCTATTAACCCTCCATTTAACCTGTTGTTGCACCAAGTAAAAAATTGATCATTATACTTCATGTCTTCTAGCTCAGATCTGTAGAGACAAGCATAAAAATCTTCACTGCCTTTCTCTTAGATTCTGCATCCTCCAACTTTTTCATTTAGGGATTTCACAATGTTGAAGTCCCCTATCACCACCCAAAGCACATTTGTTAGGGCCATTGCATTATGCATCAAACTCTACTATAGTTGCTTCCTAAGTATTTCATCATTTTGGCGATAAACAAAAGGCACATTGAAAATACATTGGTATGTTAAGGACTTAACCTTACAACATGCAATCTGATCAGTTTGGTCTATCATTTATAAATCAAATCTGAGAGGATCCCAACATATCCAAATTCTCCTTCTAAGACAGGAATTGTTATTGTTATAAAAGTCCCACCCAGGTAACATGGACAGGAAGGTGCTCTCACTTTCGTCTCCACAAGTCCACATAATCCAACATCATATTGATTGATCAATCTCCTAACCTCTACTTGCCTCAGGGGTTTATTATGGCCCCTGACATTCCAACAAAAAAGATTAGTCACTACATCTTAGGCCTAGGAGGGGAACCTAGCCCCTCATAAGTGACTATCAACTCATTTTCTTTATTTATCTGGCCTTTGCTCCTAGCCTTTCTCTATCTTTTCATGGTAGAAATAGACAACAATTTTTTCACTTCATCAACAGCTTTGACCTTGTCTAACATGCTATTAAGCTTAGGGGACTCACCCTGATTCATCCGAAGCTCAAGATCTTCCTGAGAAAGTTGGTCCAAAGCTATAATGTTATTTGTTGAGGTTCCTACTTGGTCCCTATTTGTTGCATTGTTTCCTTCTTGTTCACTCCTTTTACCAAATCAATACAAATGGTTCATCCCGTTTTTTCATCAATGTGGTTGTTCCCTACTTTCTCTTTCTCCTTGCTTTTGACAATCTGCCATTCATCAAGTTTCATCCCCCTAGTTGATTCAATTGAAGGTTGTTTATTGCATTGGGTAACATGTCACACTGCAACCTGAAAAAGAGTTAGGGTGTGGATAACCTTAATTTGTCAACCCCTTAAATCTTAAATCATAATTAAAATCACAGTAATTTATCCTGTGCAAATATAATCAAGTCCATTCATTCAAATAAGAAGTTATATATATATATATATACATATACACACACACACACACATATATCATGTTACAATGTTACAACAACTATGACACCATACCTTTAAAATATATAACTTAACAAACTATGTACAAAATGACACATGACATAGTGTACAATGTAACATCAACAATCCTACACCAAGCTAGACTGCTCAATAAACTACCTTCTAATCGCAACACCTAAAATCAAACAACTGTTGGGAGGTGAGCAAACCATACGCTCAATGAGTATATTTGAGACATATAGAAATAAAAAACATAGTACAGAACGGTTATAACAAATCTCACATATTAGCATTAAATACCAACTATCTGACTATCCAACAACGCCTGAAAATCTTGGCAGAAATTAACGACTACCCGTTTCTGCACAGGAGTCTCGCCAATCACTTAGCTACCATATATGCCTAAAGGCTCGGCAATCACATCACTACCCGTTTATGCCCGGGAGTTTCGAGAATCAATAATATCAAAAACAAAAGCATCAAACAAACACCTGAACTCATAACCAATTCACTAATTCATATTTCACTAAATCACATTCTAGCTATACACATAATATCCACTCTTATTTCAGTAGTCTCAGTGTCATCCATCCCTACCCCTTAAATCAAAAGATTCCAATAATGCCTCAGAAGCCTCTACTTGCACACATATCCTTGCAAAGGTAGCTCTGGCCCCTTCCTCAGTGAGTTTATCCTGGTTTCCCTATTCATAAAATTATCACAGATATTTTAATAACAAATAAACATAACACAAATAAATCAACAGTAACTTATGGAATAGACACGTAACCGTAGATCAAAATATCATGTTATATGTTAAGAATATAAAATTAAGAATGACCTATAATTAAAAGTAGGATATGACGTAAAATATAAAACCAACTAAAGCATAATTGTTTATCGAATATAACATAGATAACTAGAATTGAAATGAAGTGGCCTGTGAGTCGAGAGGCGTGTGATCATTGTTATAAAGCAACTAAGTCTCCCCACGTGAAGGTACTGATAGATATTAGCAACTCCAAAATTCAACTTAGATTCTCACAGAAACACCTCCTCAATGGTCCTGTCCACTGGAAGATTAGGGTGAATCTAACTTGAATCAAGTAGCCCAAAATAATATAATTAAGATAATAGATAGTAAAAAATTCATGAGAGAGTTAAAGTTGCCAAAGTTGATGAAATAGACGTAAGCCTTCTGATAGCAAAATGGAAACGAATAGTAGATGTTGTATAGGACAAGACAAAAACTGAACGTTGCTTCATAAAAGGATAGATTTTTAAGTACACCTCAAGACACTTTTATATAGGCAATAGGTGAATAAATTGAAACGGTCATGTTATGCTTATCAATTTTTTTAATCAAATCTTCTATTCTAAATAATGTTTTTTTTTTATCAAATCTTCCATTTTAAATAATGTAGCACATTCTCTATCATTGGATATTAATAAGACCCACTTATCTGCCGGTGAAAACTGTGTCATATTATTTGAAATAAAATATTTGGTAAATATATCATTATCCAACATAAGAGGTGGCAAATAGGTGGATTGAGTTGGTTATGAGTTGGGTTAAATTAGATTGTGCTAAAAAAATCCAATCCATTTTTCACTCGTGTAATAAATGAGTTATAATAGGTTGAGTTCATAACGGGTTAGATTAAACCGATTAACCCATAAAATAATTAAAATTTTTAATAGACACATTAGTATATCAAAACACACACACACACGCACACACATTAATAGTACACCAAAATACAAACATACACACACACACACACTAATACACAAAAATACACACAAACTAATATACTAAAAATATACACACTAAAATACATACTAGTACACCAAAAATACACACATACAAACACAAAAACTAAAATATATTTAATAAAAAAATACAAAAATAATGAGTTAGAGGTGATTGTGGGCTATGGCTTATAGGTCAACCCATAGGGGTCGCAGGTCTATCCATTGGTCATGGGTCGACCTATGGATTATGGGTCAACCCACTGGTGGTGGATTATTATGTTTATTTTTTTGTGTAATAAAGTGTGTTTATTTTTTGGTATATTAGTATATTTATTTTATTTTATTACTTGTGTTATTTAATAAAAAGATAAATACTCAACCTAATGGGTACTGATTTGTAATTTATATTAACCCATTTCATTAAAATGAATGATATTACCCAACCCATTTAGAATATTAATTAATATAAGTATCCAACATATTAATTTATGGATGAGTTAAATAGATTAATGAGTAATGAGTTAAAATTGTCAACTCTACCCAACATTAAACCCACTTACCATTCTAATGTTATTGTCTTCAAAGCCCATAAAAATTTGTACCGTCGGTTGTACGTACTCATGTAACCAATGAGTAAACGCCTACAATAACTTGAAGATTTTATGAACTTTAAAATTTAAAATAGTGAATACCGAAAATTCAATAAGAAGTTTTAAAAATTTTATTTATATTCCAACACTCGCAATATTGTACCTAAAGCCATTGACCGTCCAATATTCATTAGGGATGTTGTAGAGTTTGATCCAGATTGGGTGCTTCCTTTGTGAGTTTAAGCCTAAGTTGCCATTTCTTTAGTATGATAGGATGCCCTCCAATATGCCATGGCTCCCTTCCAACACCACATTACGATTTCCAGTGCTAGAGAACCGAAAGAAAAAGAAACCCTCTGCGTTGGCAACTAAATAAAACGCCCCTTTAGAACTCCACACTCTAATGGTAGAGTTCTTCACAAGTTGGAAGGGTAGTTTTTTTCCCAATTAAATACCCAACAACACAGGCGTCCCACTTTGCACTTCCTGGGCAACTTCTATTGGAGGTTTGACCACCACCCTAGCATTTACTCTGTCAGGTCCCAATTAAATACCCAACAACACTGGCGTCCCACTTTGCACCTTCCTGGGCAACTTCTATTGGAGGTTTGACCACCACCCTAGCATTTACTCTGTTAGGTTCCATGTACCTCATTTCCACCATAGATCTTGATACGTAGAGCATCCTAGTGGGCCTGGTTGTTGGTAGTGCCCATCCTATTGGGCATGTTTGTCGGTGTTGCTTCGTGCTGTCAATAACCATTACATCTGTTGGCAAAACTAAACTGCCATTTGTTTCAGAGACTTCAAGAGTAGATTTAATGCCCACCCCGTCTTTTTCCACCATAACTACAACAGTCATGTTATCACCAGCCATAATAGCTTAATAGTTGCAACTGGCCAAAGGAAAAGGACGAAAATAGTAGAGAACGAAACCAAATCAACAGGATTTAGAGAGAGAGAGAGAGAGAGAGAGAGAAGCAAGAAAAGGATTCTACATGGTATGCGTTTCGTTTTTTAAGAGGAACCAAACAATTATTGTTATCTTCGTGCAATCATTTTTCCTTGTTTCCCTCGGTAAGTCTACCCTGCTTTTTTCAAACTAGTAGCATGTCAATTCAACATTATTCCGAATATATAAATTTGACAAGAGTATTGATCCGCATGTAAGTATTGCTTTGTGCAACAATGACGTGTATGTAAAGCTAGGGTTAATTGTAAATTATATTTTAAAAGATTGTTTGAATTTTAATTTATAATAAAAATTTTAATTTATACCTTCAAAAATAGAAATTTATATCAATATACACTAAAAACTAACAACCGTCATTTTACCGTCTAAAATTAAATAGATAAATTATACATAGATTCATTCATATTTATCATTTAATCATTTGGACCCCCTTACATTTAAAATATTACGCCTACACCTCCTAACATTTGTGCATGTATAACACATAACCCCTTATGATTGATATCTGTTAATATAACTGTTAAAAAATATGATTTCATCTTAATAAAAAATTATAAGTGATACGCATGAGGGAGTTTAGGTGTAATTTATCTATTTAATTTTAGACGGTAAACTGCAGGTTGTTAGCTTGAAGTGTGCATTAATATAAATATCTATTTTTGAGAGTATAAATTAAAATTTTTTTATCTTTTAAGATACAAATTCAAATTCGATCGATTTTTTGAGATATAATTTGAGGTTAACCGATAAAGCTAATTGCAACTTGGGTGGACACCAGAGAAAGAAGAAAATTCAAGCAGGCAACCCTCGTTGATGATGCTGACCCTTATGTGTCCATTCTTAAAAATATTTATGACGCCATTTATTTCTCAATCATCCGTATTCATAATATATCAAAATTACCTTTTATTTTTTTCCCCTTTTTTTCACATATATAATTATGTGTACAAAAAGAATTTTTTGCAACAACAAAACACCGCCTAAAAAGTGAGTTCTGAGTTATTGATCTTTTTTTTTTGGGGTAAATGAATAAGTTTTATAACAAAGTAAAAGCTGTAGTGTTAAAATCAAGCAACAGCCGCCTACATATCTCAACATGAGATGATCAAAAGAGAAAATTAAATCTGGAAAGGGTGATGTTTAAGTGACAATAATTTTCATATATTAAATTACATTGTTGAAAAAGTACAACTTCATCCTCATGTACCAAAACAAGAGCAAGATAGCCTCCAATCAAGGGCTAGCTCCCTGTTGCTGGGGTGTTCTTGAATTTAAGTAAGAAAAGTCTATATCTTACAGCGGTGAGGATGTTCTACTAGATATACATAGGATCTCTGAATTCATTCTTAAAAATTATTCTGTTAGAGTTTTCTGATTAAATTGATGAGAGCTTTTTCTTTCCAATTATTTGTATAATGTTGTGTCAATTCCTTTCCAAGCACAGTTATTGATCTTTTTTATTTGTTCTTAGGGATTAACATTATACCTGTCTCACTCTCTTTCTATCTCTCAAAATCTCATTTTTATTACAATCCCTCTACTATAATATAGACAAGACACGTGTTGAAAGAAACTAAGAGCGTTGAACAGACTCCATTACTACGTCAAAACAGTGACTAGATACAGTTAATAGCAAGCATCTTTCCAAACAGTAGTCCACAACCGTCAGCTAGAAATATTGCATACGGCCCTTATTTGGGGATATTATTTAAAAATTTAATCATGTGGTTTCAATATAATTATTAGATTAATTGTGAATTTTAATGTTGGATGAAACTCACAACTAATTCAATAGTTATACATCATTAGATCCCCAAAGGAGATTATTAAATAAAGTCCAAATAACATTTCCCTAAAAAAAAATAGCATTTCCCTTGATCTTATCTTCTTCCTTCTTTGGCTACATATGAAGACGTCTCTCTCTCTTTCTCTCTCTCTCTCTCCCTCCTAGGTTAGTCTTTTTGGAAGTTCTGCATCTGTAACATGGGGGAAGCTCAAGAACTCTCACTACAGATTAAAGGTGAGTAAGCTTTTCAGATATTTTATGGACCTTTTTCTTTCTAGTTGCTATATTAGTCAGGTTAAAGAAAAAAGAAAAGAAAGGAAAGATGGAGCCTACCACTTTGCACTATAAAGTAGTGTGTTAAACCGACTGAAAATTTTCTCGTATGATCTCAAGTGTAGTACAACCAGCATGAATTCCAAACAGGGGTCAAGACGAGAACTCGTTTGTCCTGAGTTAGAGTACCCACTAAACTCAAAAACGTTAATCGATGTGCATCATTTTCGTATGATTGTGTGTACTGAAAATTTATGTTTTAGTCATGAGCTTAAAAGTCGTGTTGTGGGGTCAAAAAACGCACAAGCACATATTTTGTTAGTCAGATTTAGTGGTCCTTTTTTTTTTTTTTCCAATGATCAGTTTCAGTGGAGTTGGATGCTACTAATAGTCTCACTTATAGAAAAAAGGCTTCCCCATCAAAAAAAAGAGTGGCACATCAATCAAATACAGTCACAAAATTAGACTAAACCAAGGTGGAAGTGGCCTTAGGTAGTAATGGAAATGCCTTCGATTCAAACAAGAGATGACACATGTTACTTAAAAAGAAAGAAAAAGAAAAAAAAAACGTCACATGTTATCATGCGGTATAAATCCCTTTCTTAAAAGGCTCTGTTTCGAGTCTTTCAGTGTATTAGTTTTAGAGCAATGATACTTGAATACTATTTGTCGGTCCTATCGATTATTGTTATTAATTTAATTGTAAGTTTTAGTATTTATTGGGATTCACTATTTTAAATTCTTTTTCCCATCATTTTCTTCTTCATGCGGGAAGAGAGTGAAAACTTTGTATATTTATAGTGAATGAATTTTCTTCTTGCACCATTTTCAGAATGTCGACAAATAGTTAGAACCAAAATCAATGAAATCAAAAGCAATAATGTCAATGATGTTGTCTTCCAACCCCCCCCCCCCTCCCTCTCTCTTATTTTCTGTGATGGAGGTTGAGGGAGTGAGATCCCTACAATACTCAAACTCATTTTCTCTTTACATTTATTATTTGTGAATCACATCTCGCGAATTAATTCAAGTGGACCAATTATATATAAGTGAATCTTTCGCTCGGTATGAGTAAATGATATTTTTTTTAAAAAGAAATTGAGAAAAAAAATTATTAGAGAAGATCCAGACTCGACTTTGGAGGACTTAGTTAGACATAACTACAATTTTGTTTTGCAACTTTGTGCACAAAATGGCATGGCAGAATTTTTTGTTTTGTTTTGTGAGAGTGAATACAAAAATTATTTAGTAGAACTCATAAATCTAACAATTTAAAAGAAATATTTTATATTAAACTTTACTGTGTAAAGTTGTTCGGTAGACATGACGATCTTTTCCGTTATGTTATTCTACCAGGTCATGAAGCCAAAGAAGCAAGCCCACCTGAAAATGCCAATGTCAACCACCACTCAACAGTCTCAAAGCTTAGACAATACAAGTGGTGGATCCAAATGGTCATTTTCTCTCTTTTAGTTCTCTCTGGCCAGTCAGCTGCCACACTCTTGGGAAGACTCTACTTTGACAAAGGTGCGAAGAGCAAATGGATGGCAACCCTAGTCCAAACCGCAGGCTTTCCTATCCTTATTCCCTTTTTCTTCTTCTCACCAACCAAACATGGGATTGCACAAAGTAACCAAACAAAACCACCTTCTACCTTAATCCTTGTCTCTTTTTATACCTTTCTTGGTCTATTACTACCAGCATTTTGTATGTTGTACACAATTGGGCTCCAATACCTCCCAGTGTCTACTTATTCTCTCATTTGTGCAAGTCAGTTGGGCTTTAATGCTCTCTTTTCCTACTTCCTTAACGCCCAAAAATTCACTCCTTTTATAGCGAACTCTTTAGTCCTCCTCACCATTTCCTCCACACTCCTTGTTTTCCAAAATGATGACTCTGGAGACTCCAATAAAACCTCGAAAGGGAAGTACGCGATTGGGTTCATGTGCACTGTTATTGCATCTGCAGGCTATGCATTGAACCTTTCTATAATCCAGTTCGCTTTTCGAAAAATTCTTAAGAGGGAAACTTTTAAAGTGGTCATGGATGTAATAATCTACCAATCTCTCGTAGCGACATGTGTGATCCTAGTGGGGCTTTTCTCTAGTGGGGAATGGAGGAATTTGGGAAGAGAGATGAAAGAATATGAACTTGGTAACGTATCGTACGTAATGAACTTGGTATGGACTGCTATGACATGGCAAGTGTTTAGCATTGGGGCAATTGGGCTGATTTTTAAGGTCTCTTCACTATTCTCCAATGTCATAAGTACCTTGGGTTTGCCCATTGTTCCGGTTCTTGCCGTGTTCATTTTCCAAGACAAGATGAGTGGAGTGAAGGTGGTTGCAATGTTGTTGGCCATTTGGGGTTTTGCATCTTATATCTATCAGCATTATCTCGATGATTTGGAATTGAAAGCTGAAAGTAGAATCGTTAATGAAGTTTCTCTAGTTGAAAGAGCTTAGATACTATTTGAGAACGCTGTTTACATTTATCTTTAATTGTTTGCTTATTTGACAAATTTGTTAAGTTGTGCTTGTTTTGGAAATTATTTTTCTCTTTTTTGTTTGACTTTTTCCTATTCTGACAAGCATAATTACACATATAATAGTATACTCGTACACAGATGAATAAATGGGTAAAATACTTTAATAGTCCACTAAATATTGCTCATTTCCATTTCCATTCTTTTAATTGTTATTAGTTCATCAATTTTCAGTTTGTGTTGACAGAGGTGTTCACGGGCATCTCAAATGAGCATACTTGATGGCCACTTTGTGTTGTGAAAAATTATGTCTTAAAGTGACCCATTTGAAGTGATGAATAAATTATATTAGTGTAGTGAAATAAAACTTGTCCCACATTGAAAAAAAATCAATACTTTGGTGAGTTATGTACTCCTACATTATTTTGATTATCACATGCGCTGCTCACTCGCCACGCCACACCACGATCGCAACTGGGCCAGACTTGGACAAAAAAGATGCGGGTCATGGGTCAAATCAATCGTATTCGAATGCTAATCAAAATTTAAATCCAACCGAATTTTTAAATTTCTACCCGTTACTTTGGATTTATCACCAGTGAGTTTGGTTCATTCCAGAGAATCTATTCATTCAAAAAGTTGTAGATTAAAAAGTGTCTTTTCAATCTGAACAATGACATCCATGTCTCTTAGAACGATCTTTTTTTTTTTAATTATTTTATTTTATTTATTTATTTACTTTTTTTATTCTTCAAACAATCTGAATAGTCACCAAAGGTTTATAAATAGATTGCTCCATTACCATTTTAGTCTATCCCAATTTTGGATTCTAATTTCAGAATTTCTTCTCTCCTTCAATGCATATTGTTGCATTATTCTTTTGGTTCAATTCAAATATAAACACAAGTTGTGTTCGCTCTTCAACCTTGAGCACCGAGAGTGAGTAAATCTGTCTTAACAAGATTGTGTTTCACAAACCTCGGATTATTTATTCTGATTTTCTTATTAATTATTCTTGCAAATTTGCGACTCTGACTGCAATGTTTTTTTTTTCTATACATTATGTTTAGATTAGTGCATAAGTTTGACTTTATACAATTTGATATAATCTAATTATATACTTGCTTTTCAATAATAATCTTAAGACAAATTTTGGTTTTATAATTAGATTAAATACTGTTTTAAGTCTAAAATAGAATTTTGTATTATGTTACTGTTTTTAATTACTATACTTATCACAATTAGAATTATGTATTCTATTAGACTGTTGATTTTAGTATTAAATCATTTGGTTCTGTTTGTGTAACAGCTGACATCAACAAATTCTATTCCTACAACCGTGAGTTTTTCTCATGGAGAGAAGCCTAAGAAATTCAATGACTTGGAATTCAAATGTCGGTAACTACAGATGTTGTTCCATCTCACAATTTTGAATCTTGTAAAGTTTCTAAATAAAGATATTCCTTCTCTTGATGAGAACAAAACTAATGTGAAAAAGGTGGCTACGATGGATACTTGGAAGTATTCGGATTTCTTATGTGAAAATTACATCCTCAATGGGTTAGACAATGTACTATGTAATGTTTATAGTGCTGTCAAAATTGCAAAAGAACTTTGAGACTCCTTGGACAGAAAGTACAAGATTGAAGATACCAACATGAAAAAATTTATCGTTGGCAAGTTCTTAGATTTCAAAATAGTGGATTCTAAGATTGTTATATCCAAAGTTTAGGCACTTCAATTAATCCTTCATGACATCTATGCCGAGAGTATGTCTTTTAATGAGTCATTCCAAGTGGTTGCAATTGTGAAAAAATTAGGAGCTTAAGAACTATCTCACGCACAAGCGCAAGGACATGAAACTTGAAGATTAATGCATAAGTGTAATATATTCTAATTATATACCTGTTTTTCGATAACAGACCCATCTTGATGTGTTCTTTGGAATTTTATCACTCATTACCAACCAGATATTATTTATATTTTAGAGTCTATGGTGAATTTTGATTCTATAACTGTCCAAGACCCACCACCACCCAGCCGATAACCACCACCAGCTACCCAACCTCCACAAATTTCGTTCGATTTGACACCCAGCAACCACCACCTCTAGCCACCCAACCTCCACCAAAACCCACCACCACCCAGCCACCACCTAATAGAGCAAACCCACCACCACCAGTCAACCAACCTCCACCTTAACAAGGATGGTTCCTCTATTTTTTCTGTCTCTCCCACCTTGAACCAGTACCACCATTGTTGAGACATTCTGCACCCATCTCTTATCTCCTTTTCACTGTTCCTCTTTTCCTCTGTTTTGGCTGCCCACCCACCTCCATTTTCTCACGCTACCCTAATACACCCCATGGTCATTCTCACCTGTGACACAAGCATCCTTTTATCAACCGACTCAACACCTTCTTTGGTACTTCACACACCTCAAGTTTCTACCCAAATCGTTTGGTCTGACACCTATTTGCATTAATGCCTCACCCAACCAATTTTCCCCCACTGCTCACCCATTAACTAACCCATTTGTCAGATCACTTTTCTAATGGAATCACCCAATCAGTCACTCAGCCCAAACAAAAACCAAGACATTATCCCCTCCTTGATGGCTAGTGAAGAAGCAGCTACAGAGGGCCAAGGGCAGATAGGGAAACAAAAAGGGGCAAACCACAACCAATTTAATGAAGTTGATACTATTCCTGAGGGTATAGCACAGGCTTTTATTAGCAAAGTGAAGTCCAAAGCCATAGCTCAGGTGGAACTACACAGAGAGGCTCCTACACTTGTGAGTAACAGGCAGCACAGACAAGGTCCACCCAAGGGGTCTTAAAGCCAAGTCATGAAGGTAGGCAAAGGAGGTAATCCCTAGAAAGGAAACCTAGCTAATGGAGAAAAACAACATATCATAAGGTTAAAGTATTTCAAACCTTGTAAAGAAAATGATAGAATTGTTATCAAGCCACCATCAAAAATCAAAAAACAGGGATGCCTTGAGTGGCAAAACTGCTTGGTGGGGTATTTTATAGAGAGGAAGCTGCCCTAATCCACAGTTAGCTTCATTGCTCACAAGGTTTAGGATAGGATGGGTTTGTTGGAGGTTCTTGCAAATGGGAACGGTTTTTACTACTTTAAGTTCGTGGATGAAGAATCCCGAACTAAGGTGTTTGAGGCTGGCCCTTGGTTATTCTCAGGGAGACCGCTCATTTTGAAGAAATGGACCCCTAACCTGCTATTTACCAAAGAGGATCACTCCATCATTCCTCTTTGGGTCAAGTTTTATAACATTCCACTGCAATTTTGGAGTGACGATGGGCTTAGCCATATAGCTAGTACAGTTGGTACCCCTTTGTATGCTAACACCATGACTACCAACCAAAAAAGGCTTAACTTTGCAAGGGTCTACATTGAGGTGAGTGCAGATGCCAATCTTGTGGAAGCGTTTGATTTGAGGATGGATTTGGAAGACAAAACAGAGACAGTGAAAATAAAGGTGGAGGATCAGTGGAAGCCTAGTGTTTGTCATTCTTGTAAAGTGTTTGGTCACAAAGAAGGTTATTGTTCACAAAAAGGAGCAGTTGAATCTTCTCAGACTAAGCCAGACATGAATACTAATAGTAGCAGGGATAAGAGGAAAGCCATTATAACCCCAAGGAAGGATGTGGGAGGATCCATAGGGGTTCCACAGGCTTGGGAAATCATACCTCAAGTGGGAGATACGGTTGCTAGCAGTAGTAGCACGAACAGGTCAGTTACCAACCAGTGCTCTATTGGGTGACAAGATGATACCTAGGTCACTACTAACATTATCACTGCTATTATTGTGAGTGATTAAAATCACGCAGAGCAGGCTGCTAAGCCAATTCAGTCCTCTAACAAATTTGAAAGCTTAAACTTGGTTGGAGGTGAAATTGTTGTGGATTTACCCCCAGCCCCTGGTACTAATAATGGTGATATTGCTAGTATCAAGAGACAAGTTATGGAGGTTGAATCCATTGGGCACAAACTAGAGGTGGAGAATATGCCTGAGGGAGAACATAAAAAGAAGGCAAAGAAGAAAGGCAGTAAACAGGGGAAAAGAAAGGTGTTGTAGCATCTCAAAACCAAAAAACCTCTACTTTTATGTTAAAAGTTTCTTGTTGGAATGTGAGAGGGTTGAATAAACCCTGGAAGCAGGGAGAAGTTAGGAAATTGATCAGGGATCAAAACCTAGATTTATTAAGTCTTGTGGAAACCAAGGTTAGAAGTATTAACAAGGATTTGTCTATGAGAAATGTATTTGGACAATGGGAACATGTGGACAATTACAGTTGCCACAATAGAGGAAGGATTTGGGTTGGGTGGAATCCTCTTACTTTAAAAGTGAATAAAATCTCTTCAACTGAGCAAGTTATTCATTGTTTTGTACACCACTTGGAGACAAATCATTCCTTTTATGCTTCCTTTGTGTATGGCTCTAACGAGGAACAAGATAGAAGACATCTTTGGGGTAATCTGATTTATCATGCTGGAATTTTGTCATCTTTACCCTAGACTATTCTAGGGGACTTTAATGCCATTAGACACACTCAAGAATCGATAGACTATTCTGGCAAATGGTGTCAGTCCCATGAAGACTTTGATGATTGTCTTCAACGAGCTGAATTAGTGGATCTTAAGTTCTCTGGTTGCCTATTTACTTGGAGTGACCGCAAAATTGAGGCATGGTGTATTGTCAAGAAGTTGGATAGGGTGCTGGTGAATGAAGAATGAAATATCAGATTTCAACAATTTGAGGTTGTTTTTTTGCCACCAGGAATGTCAAATCATAGCCCTGGCTTACTTAAGATTGGTCAAGAAAAAAGGAAAAAAAGGAGTCCTTTCAAGTTCTTTAACTTCTTGGCTGAGAGGCTGGATTTTCTACCTATGGTTGAACAAATTTGGAGGGAACCCATCCAGGGAACTCTTTAATACTAGTTGTGCTGCAAATTGAAC